GATGCAGCTGGTCTCATAGCTGCTCGTGTGGGGACATTAGGAATATAATACAGGTGCTCAATGGAGAATGAGTTCATTGATTGATCCGCTCACGGAATGTTGGATAGTTGATGATGCTTTATTGTCATACAGCGATTCTGTCATCCTAGTGGTGTATTTGGTTCTTAGACTTGAGGCACCAAGGATATCTTGTATGAGTACTCTACTCTTTGATACCAGACTTATAGGTCTAGAGGTTCCAAATCTAGCATAGTCGGTCATCAGGAGTGGTAGCCAACCTTACGAGGGCTATTGAGTGTCGATAGAGGATCATCCGCTTTTGGTGTCATGAGAGGAATATCTCATGTGTTCTTTCTCAAACAAATCCCTGACTAGAGTCATTCGGAATGAGAGAAAAAGAGTTATTCGGGAGAATCCGATTAGAGTGAGACTCGTGTAGAAACTATATTGGCCTGACAGCACCATACCCAGCATACGGTCTTTGGGATATTAGATGGATGAGGGACTATAGATACATAGTAACTGAGGATAGGTAGGTCTAAAGGATTGGATTCTCCTGTATTGTCTATGGACTATGGTGTAGTGGCCTAGTATGTCTACAGTCGATGAGTCGAGAGTGAATTATTATGAAGATAAAAATTCGCTGAGCCAAATGGAGTTCTGACATGTATGACTCACGGCCAGCTCGATATTGGTCCTAGAGTGTCACACACATATGGTAGGCGTTGCGACGAGTAGAGGTTCGAATATGAGATATCCGCCGGAGCCCCTATCTTATTGGATATCTAATAAGCTCATGAATTATTGGATCCTATGGATGAAATCCAACAAGAGATTATTGGGTAGAGACCCACTAATCTAAAAGACTTGAGTAGTTGGATGGAAATCCAGTACCCAATATGATATGATTCATTATGGTTAAGTTGATAGGGCCTCTATTTAGGGAATCAAAGACCCATAGGTTAGAGATTTTTTTTTGCTGCCTCCTCCTATTCTCCTCTCCCTCTCTCCTCCTTATACTGTAGCCCCCATTTGGGGCGTGTGGATAGCAAGAAGGGGCACCCCCTTCTTGATTGTGTGGTGCACGCGAGGAAGAGTTTTGGGCAGCGATTTGAGGAGTATACTCGCCCTTACCGTGTGGATCACTACTAGAGATGAGGATAGTTGATTTCCACCATCCTCTCCTATAGATTTTTTCACGAGTTTTTGCACGCTAACTTTTGCACGACGATAGAATCTTCTTTTCCGCGAGAATTCTAAAATTTTATTTTTTTTATTCTTCCGCTACGCATGTGATATCGCTCCAGATTTCCCAATACTACACCTCGGGTCAACACATTCTAGCTCAAAGATCATGTTGATGACCTTGTGCACTCGAGAAAGCCAAGTCGTATTGACACCTCGATGACGGCACAAAGTTGCAAAACAGGATAAAAATGATATCTTACTCCCTACTTGATTAAGCTTCCGTTCCGGTTGAATCTTTGCGTCAGTTCTAAGAGACTACCAAGCAGTTGACTGACTCAGAAATTTAATGGTCAAAGCATTGTTTTTTGCATCAGAACAAGGAAAAGCTGCTGTTCTTTCATGCGAGCATGATTTCGGATGCATGGAAATGGAGGGTGATTGGTGCCAAGGTAAGTCAAAATCCGAGACCTAGGAAAGAAATCTAAGGCTCACTGTGTTGACAAGCTGGGTGGCGGCATCATATATATCTCCAAATATTGGTACCAAAGTCTATTATGGTCCCCTTCTTTCTTATGGGAGTGGATTCTCCACAACAAAGTGGGCGTTGTAGGTCACTGAGTCGATTAAATTTTTTTCTCTCTTTTTGTTTTACTTCTCTTTTATTGATGAAGGCAATCAACTTAATTAGTACTTGGGCATTTCTTAGAATGTGTCACAAGTAATGTATACGGTCTTCGCCGGTGCTGATCATAAAGAAGCTAATCACAACTTCATGTTCATAGAAAAGTAGTAATCAGACATGAAGGTGAATCACATACATAATTCGTGATTTCTTTCAATAAATTAGAGGACTACATTATTTGTAATCGGAGATATGAATTTATGGAAATGGTTAGGATGAAGCTTTCAAACTTGAATTTCTTGTCACCCAGTGTCAAATCACACGATTAGGCTCCGATTTTTCCGATGATGTGATGCATAAAGATCCTTGGCGAGGCCAAGTCCCTGTCAGCGTGTCAAGAATTTGGCACTGAAAAGTACATTGTCTCTCCTATGAATACGGGATTGTCCAATGCCATGCTCATTCGTAACTCTGCGATCCAACTCTTGTAATTTACTTGCAAGAATGGCCTTGCAATGTCACCCATTTTTAATCCAATTTTAGACCGGCAGAGTAGCGACGGTGCTCGTCTTCCATATCTAACCCTATTCCATTTGGTGTTGCTCATTCATTCTGACCTCTAATTTGGACGCTTCTAAAAAAAAATTTCCTCCTGTGTCTCTCTCGTATCATCTTTCTGGAGCACTCGTTGCATTTGCTCCTCCATTACCCGCATTGGTTGCCGAGTGGGGAATCTTTGCTCACTTGCACCAGAGTAGAAAGGTAAGGAGGCCACTGCCCGTCGCTACTCTTTGCACAGTGCAAGTGGTGCCATTTCCAGTGTTGCCATTACATGGAAGGACCATCCATCTCCTCACGGTAAATGTTGGTCCCGTCTCATTCTCTCTCAGATTTGGAAATCCAAGCGAACCATCTCGCCACGTGATGCAAAAACACGAGTTCGTCGGACGCGGGCGTCCGTAGCCTATCAACTGTTCGCTGGTATTCCCGTTTCAACGCCGTCATGCTGAGCCTATTAAATGCTCCTTGATAATCCTATACTGATGCAGACCACGCATTTCGTCGAGCACCTCATCAGAAAACAGTCGACGTAGTAAAACGTCTCTTGCGGCACCGCCCAATCCAGTTCTTTTCGTGTGCTAAAAGAACACCGGCACGTTCCATATCCTAGCATTGTTTTTGGTGGCAGGGTGGGGATTGAATGAAGCATGAGGATCACGAGCTCATGATGGCGACCGAGGGCTTGGAATCCGTCGATGCAGCGAAGCCTGGTGGTGGATCCTCTGCGAAGCCAAGGATGGTGATTGCAGAAACGTACTCCGGTGGCCTCTGCTTGTTGTGATAGGCCCTGCAAAACCGAATCAGCACAATATGTAGACGTCAGCAGCATTAGTCGCGGACATTGTGGACTTCAGACGTCAAATTGCAGCCTGCTGCGGCTACGGTGAGCAAGAAGCAATGGCTACGAAGCCGAACAGGGCCATGGGCTGGCTCGGCCCATTAACGAACAAAGCATTTTAAGACGCATTAAATCCGCCTCAGGAGGCAACGAGGGCCATCGCACCCGACCCTCCAATGCTGGATATGCACTCATATGACATTATTTAGGCTGCTGGAATGTTGTCGATAGGGAGATGTACAAGTTGATCTCGTATATGTTTGTTGAGTTGATCAAATCCATGTTTAACACATTGTGAGACCGACTGTTGAGATATGGACATCAAAGTAGGAATGAGGATGAGTAGAACAATAATTAATTTGATTTAAATTTGAATACCCCCTCTACAAATGAACGTAAATTTTTTTTTATTTTTTTCTTTCTTCTAATTACGGTATCGAACGGCGACAAACAGTACAAAAAGTGACATTAATAATTGTGAAAAACAAAAAGAATAAGATTAATAATCAAGATGTTGTAAATAATAAAATTATATTTTTATTATTTTTAAAAATTATCAATAGTAAAATGAGGATTTTTAATAGTAAGCTTCTTATAATTAATTATTATATATAAAAAAAGTAATTGCCTAACTTAAAGGTCTATTTGGGACTTCAAATCATAAAATTTAAATTATAAACATTGGCACGGTTAAAAGGGTGGCGACAAGCCATATGTCAAACTCCAACACATAAATGATGATGACTCATTGTACATATATATCTTGTGACTAAAACAAGCGTGACGCGTGAAGAAGCCACCGGCCAGCCCACTAGCTGGTGGTGGCTATAATAATTCCCTTGGTTTTCGGGTTGCATTTGCTTGTCCCCAAAGGTCACACGCTCGCTCGCTCTTACTTCTCGTTGTCGGCTAGCGAGGCCATGCTATCACCGAAGGCCACGCTCTACTGCGAGTAACCCTTCGTCGATTGACTGCGGTGTACACGAAAAGGGCACCGTGTTCATTGTAACAAGACACCCAGCCCAGCTAATATGCTGGCATGCATTCATCAAACCTCGTTAAGTCTCGTTGGTAGAATACCACATAATTTTTATTTATTTAATTTACTCTTGGTGGGTCAAATTTTAATGGTTTTTTTTTTTCCATGAAAGAGTTTAGACGCAATCAAATCTTAAACATCAACACCTCAAGTTCAGGCAATATTGTTGAGCAAGTCAAAGGCATCATTCATCACCTGCAACACAAAAATAGTTCTTGGAATTTTTCAAAGACCATACGAGACCCGATGAGAGATCAAAATTTCATGAGCTAAGAACGTCGGAGTCAAGAAAAATAAATAAATAAAGGGTTTGTGTCGTGTTCTTTTGTTATTTGTGTTTTGGCACCTATTCTATGCCGACGTAATTTGTTTGTAAGTTAAACGACTAACCTGACCTGATTCCTCAAGTCTTACCAACCCACACTGTATCGACGTCTTTCGAGAATTACAATCATCACGTGTTAGTGTTTAACATATATGAACATTTTTTTCCTTTTCTTTTTTTGTTTTCTTGCCTCCAATGCCACAATAAATGTAATGTCGCGTTTGTAGAAGAAGATTATACAACAACGACTATCCAAGTTAACATGTTGACATACATATATATATATATATATATATATATATATATATATATATATATATATATATATATATATATATATATATATATATATATAATCATTAGTAATCAACAAAGTCGTCTCAAAGAAAACAATATGGGCAGCCAAGGGGGCACATCCACCAAACCGTAGTAAATAATTCTAATAAATCGGCCTAACGCCACGCGGAGGCGACTGTGATCGCCCGCCCCTTCCATCCGAATCCAAGACCGTGACCGCCGGTTTCTTCCCGGATGGTGAACCCATGGTCGGGGGCGACAGACGCGAGTCGAGCCTTAACCGGTTCGATCACGTCCCGTCCGAGCGGAACGGACTCGAACCCGGCCATTCGCATCCGCGCCCGCCACTTGCCGAAGACCTCGCACCGCTCGACCCGGTCCATCCCTTCCCTGGCCACCGAATTGACTGCCCGTCGAGCCAAACCGGCCTCGACTCGGGCCCTCTCGGCGCTGTCCCGGTTCACCGTCGCGTCGAGCGACTCCAGCAGGGCGCCGTAGTGCGCGCACGCCTCCGCGAAGCGGCCGGCGAAGGCGGCGGTGCTGGTGTTGATATCCTGCTCCACCAGCGCCACCACGCGCGGCCGGAGGGCGCGCACGCGACGGAGGAGCTCGTCGCGGGGGTTCGCGGGAGAGACGCTCTCGTCCGGGACACGAGAGAGCGCGAAGGCCAGGTTCACTGCCAGGGCTTCTCCGGGCTGGCACCCCAGAGTCGACGCGTCTAGCTCCGCCGCCCGCCGATGGACGACGCTGAAGCGGACCTCCAGACCGGCCCGCTCGGCCAGCTTCTCGATCCGGTCGCCGACGGCCCTCAGGTTCCCGCTGCTGTTGGGGTTGGTGAAGGGGAAACTGGGGTCTGCGACGACGGTGATCCTAAGGGCGGGGGGACAGACGGCAGGCTGGAATCGGTGGCGTTCCGCGAGGACGTGGAGGAGGGCGGCGTATTGGCCGCCCTGGCCAAGACTGAAGTCAAGGATATGGATCATGGACTGGTCCTTGGTAGCCTCCAAAATCGCCAAATTGGCGGCGACGAGCCCGAGTTTGAAGCAAGGAGACAGTTCGTAGAGCATCTGCGCTGCCGCAAAGTGCTCCCCGCTGCAGAGTGCCGCAATCGGGAGAGAGGTACTCCCAGCCTGTGCCGGGTTCAGGCGAGAGAGGAGTGCGCCAACCATCATCGCGGTGAGCCGCTGCTCCGCGTCGCCTCGGGAGTTTGCGACGCGGTTCAGGACAGCAAGGTTCGCGGTGGCCGTCTCGAGGTTACCGTCTGCAATGGCAGCGGCGGTGTCGAGAAGCATCTGCCTCGAAGAAGAAGCCGCTGCTACTGTCGCCGTGGATGTCGAGGGAGGAGAGCACGAGACAGAGGACGAGACGGTGGAGGAGGAGGAGCTGGTGGGCGAAGAAGACAACGGGGTCGGTACCGGCGCTTGCGGCGTGATGATCTGCTGCATCGCATCGCTCCACTCGGCAGTGGTCACGGCGGAGCTCGACGCGCTGACCTCGCCCTCTTCCTCCTCCTCTTCCTCGTCCAAGAGAAGCCGCCGCTCTAGCTCCTGGAGACGGTCTCGCATCCTCTCAACTCCCGTCCCGGCCGCCTGCGGCACAGAGGAGTGCTCCTGAGGCCGCGCGAATCCCGACGCCGTCAAATTGGCCGAAACCGAGGAGGAGGAACCCGAAGAGAGAACAACAGGGAGAAGAGGAGGAGACAGGTGGGAGGAAGCATGGGGGGCAAGAAGCGTCCTTTGCCTCACGGATCGGAGGAAGTGCGCGTTCTGCATCTGCATCTGCTGCTGCTGCCGCTGTCTCTCCATTTCCGTCAGCGACCGCTTCAGCAGGCCGCCACTTCCAGCTTCCGCTCGCGTCGGCATGGGGATCTGCACGCCGAAGCCGAGTTCACGCACGGGAAACCCAGACGCCATAGCCGAAGAGCCTCTCGAGCAAACACACACGGAGACAAAGGGGCAGACACAAATGAAGGAGAGAGAAATCTAAAAGGAGTGGTTTAATAGCGTCTCCTCTTGTCCTCCTCCCTCCGTGACAGCTTTCTTCTTCTCTTCCATCTCTCTAGTTAAAGAAAGAGAGAAAGAAGGCGACGACAGGTACGCCATTTTCTTGCCCGATTTATATATCATATTTATGCCGCCAGGTAGCCTCCCTTGCTGTATTGAAAGACACGGCTCCGCTTGCTAAGCAATGGTCAAAAAGCAAGAAAAGAAAGGCAGAGAGAAAGAGAGAGAGAGAGAGAGAGAGAGAGAGAGGTAAACTGGGCGACGCTGGCGAGGTATCAGCCACACGCGGGCCGAATGCTCTCCCGTCGCAAGCCGCCTTTTGTGGTAATTCCTAGTGATGCACGACATCGAACACTTTGGGTGCGTTCCCCTACGACGTTACCACAACGACGATATTAGCTGCGGGCTTTCGACAGCTGTCTCGGGGTCGAATCACGTCGTGTGCGGGCGCAGCGCAGGGGGATCGAGTGGGACGTCGAACTAATGCTGCAACTGTCGGTCACCGATACACGGCCCCGCTTCATTTGGACCTACGAACCAGGATGCTGGTGTGGCCCACGTCGAGGGGCGAGTGAGGTAGCGCCTCGTGGCTTGCACCGCGTCCTCTTTCTCTCTCTAACCCCCACGGGGGAAAGCGGTAGGCTCCTCGTGACACGTGTGCACCTTGAGACCAAGTGGCTGCGCTCGGGGAGAAGAAGGTCGACGTTGATGGTTGCTGCAGGATTCGTGAAAAAACATCTTGCGAACGTCAGCACAGCTGGTCTCGTCGGCTTTGCCCATCGTTGGCTGTCCTCTCCAACTTGAGAGAGAGAACGAGCGTCGAGACGAGTGACATCAATGCAGTGGAAGAAGAAGACGATGAGTCAGCGACCATGACGCACGCACCGCCGACGGTACTTGAAGTGTTCTCCGGAATTAGAGGCTCGTCGATATAGGATACATTGTAATCCGATACGTACAAAATAATAATTATATATTTTCTTCTTAGGCAATCATAAACTAATTTAGGATGAAAAAATATCTAGCGATATAATTAAAAAGACCGTACATGAACAAGAGCCCAGCACCTTCCTCTTCAATGAACATATATTTATGTCGATAAAAAATCACAAACACAAGATTACATAAAATTTAAAATAGGAATAAGGTAAAGTAATATCGGGGTTTGGGTCATATCCTGAGAATTCGAGTTAAAATCCGTTTCACTCAGTTAATCATCATTTAACTTCTAAATGACCTCGGAGGAAAATAGTATATCCCTCAGTTTAAGCATTTGATTCGCCTCCTCATCCGATAAGAAAGGAGAGTGTTATCTATATAATGCACTGACCAAACGAGATCAAACCCTCAATCTCAACTCAAACCTACGAAAAAGGATTGGAAGGGACTCCACTAACCTTAAAACCCTAATATGTGGTCAAATAGTAATCACTTTTTCCCTTACATAATCAAAAACAAATTATAAAAAGTTTACGAGTTGGAATAATATTAGCACGTCAACATTCCCTGATGAATACTATTATGCAGCGCCACGAGTTAGGTGTTAACTGAGAGTGAAATATCTTCTACCATTACAGGCAAGATATTATCACTGGGTAAAGGGAAAGACAAAGTCCCAACTCAAGGGAGTCACGAGACAAGCATCACTGGGTAAAGGGGAAGACAAAGTCCCAACTCGAGGGAGTCACGAGACAAGCAAAGACACCCTGATGCGAGGTCAAACAGATGTTGACCGGATCAAGGAACTTGCAAATTGAACTCAATCGGTCTAGAGTATTTAACTTACGGGTGATCCAAAAGTGGTATACTCATCATTGAATTGCAAACGTGTAAGCTTTTCTTAAACTCTAAATCCCAAAGAACTTTTGGATTCATGAGAACTGCCTCCCATAATAAAAGGGAGGTCGGGACTTCTTCCACCCTTGGGCTGTCCAAAGACGAAATGTAGACCTCGACTGTCTGACGATCGATAGATTGAGAGAAACTTGTACAAGAAATAAAAGACACCCCTATTTGAGGAGATGAAGCAAAATAATAAAATACTGATCTATTACTAAACTGATGTCGGGACTACGAGAGACTCAAGAACCAACTCACCCTTTAGGGAACTAGGACGAAGCAAAAAAGATTTCTAAGGAAACTCTAAAGACTCAAATAGAGAAATAAGGATTTATAGGGAAAAAGATAATCTTTGTTCTCCCACAATTGAAACAAGTGTCCCACACTTCCCAAGAGATGCTAATAAATTAAGGATTTGAAAAGCATCGAATAAAGGATTCAAAAGTGCTAGGTAACGAACTCAAAACATGTCAAATGGAGACCTTGAGAAGTGAAAAGAAATCTAATATCAAATGAAGGACTTGAGAAGTGAAAAAAGAAATCCATCACGATGAAAACACAAGACCAAATGCATCAAAAATGTGTAAATGGAGAAAACTCGCCCGCGTGAAAAAAAAAATCTACCATAACAAGGATGGAAGACCAAATGCAATTAGAGACAAAGGTGGAATACCAAATGCAATTAGAGACATGTTAGTCAAGAAAATCAAAAACAAATCTACTATAATAGAAGTATAATGCAAAATGTGCCAACAAAGTATTTTGTCAATTATGTCCAAGTTTAGACATAATTGAATCTCTGACCACATAATTGAATCTCATGGTCAGGTTCCTGCTAGATCAAGTATGTATCCAAGGCAGACTCATCCTAGATCAAGTATGTATCCAGGGCAAACTCATCATATTTCCAGTCGGTCGATGGTACCTTAGAAGAGGCATCATAGGTGAAAAATCCCCATTTTAAATCTAAAATCTGGTCATCAATCATAACTTTAAGAAAAAAAAAAAAAAAGGAGATTATTGATATCGGCCAAAGAAAAAAGAACGAACTTATGGTGCTACAGTGCAATGATTCTGTCCAGAGAGGTGGCAGACTAGACACATGGAAACTCCAAAGAGGTAACGGTTCAAAACTAGATACATATTCTCGCAAAACCGTAACAGATACTGTTTCACCGAGGCAACAAGCTAATAATTTCAGGATGACAGTAAGGACAAGCAGATGAATTTAGTTCCGACAACCATGGTCCCCGAAAGGTTAATGTTTACCACAAACCACTGGCATCACAGTGCAAGTCATGACCTAGTCACAGTATATTTTGAGCAACATATCCTTTTGCAATAATGTTATTGCAAGTCAATCAGAATATATCCAGTATCCACTCTGGACACAGACTACCAGAAACAGTACAACCACTCGATGGCCTGAAGAGGCAGACACTACCACAAGGCCAAACTAGAGTAGTGGTGGATACTGTTTGGCTTGTTGCCGAACCCTTCTTTTATACTCCACTGGATCCTGCAAATTTCATATAAGAAAGACTTTTATCTGTTGGAAAAACAAAAAACAAAAAACAACCAGTTCAAATCAAGGTGTATAATATAAACCTGAATAAAGAGATGATAACCATCAGTCTGGGCAGGGTCAGCAGGATTTGGCTGATCAAGCAAGTCTTGTATCCCAACCAATATCTGTTTCACGGTAATGGCTGGTCTCCATCCCTGAGATGTACAAGGTTTAAATAACCACCAAGTCCTAAGACCGAAAAGAAAATAATGGAAGCCTTGTCGGCCTGATTCAGTTCACTTACACTGTCTTCATTAAGAATTGATAGGCATACAGTTCCAGAAGGGTAAACGTTAGGATGGAAGAAACCTTGAGGAAACTTGCATTTTGGAGGTTTGCTAGGATAGTCCTCACTGAAATGGACAGTAAGAGGGAAATAACCACCTTCCCAATCAGTCTGCAATGTGACATGATCACATCACTTATTTTGTGCTCTATAACTTGGGAAAAAATAGGTAGAACTACCATGATCTCAACTAGAAGAATTATTACATCTTCAAAAGGAACTAGAAATCAGTACAACCAATATGTACACTGATGATATATGGGTGATCCAAATTGCATTATATTGCAGCACAAAGAAGTGATTTGTCATCCAAAATAAAGCTATGATTTTAGGGAAACCATGAAAAGTCACACTTATAACTAAGTAAATTGTATAAACAACTGTAGATTTGAGCATATGCAATTCTGAATACAGATCAACAATGAATCTGATTTAACAAAACTTGAAGAAATATTAAACTTAATATTCTTGTCAACAGTGGAACAAACATATCTAATTCTTCTGGGAAAAAGTTTCAGCAGCTAATCAGTAATCTGCCATTAAATTGTAATGGTCTCATTTCCAAGTACAAGGTTCTAAAGAAATTCAAAAAAATACTTGACTTTGTGACAAAAATAAATAGTTGTCACATCTAAGTCGAATAAAATGGATATTGTGGGCAACTAGTTGCCAGTGAGTGAATGTTTATGACAACCAAAGACAAATAAAGCACTAAACAAGTTAAAACAAAGTAAAATTGGGTGTGAATCCAAGAAATAAGACAGCCTTCCATTTCGTAGTACTAAGAAGTAATTCCAACTAAGACCCATAAGAATTAAAATTATCATTTATGCATGACAGAATAGTTTCTCCAAAAAGCGAATTCTGATTTTCCCCATCTAAACCAATCCTGCATCTTGCAATAACTCCAATAAGGAACTAGGAAAATGACGAACAAGATGGACAGGTAAGGTAGGCTCAATATATTACCCGACCTTAATATTCAGATTATGCACATTGCAGAGCAGCATTAAGATGGTTGTCACATACATAATGCAGAAAAATACAGCAAATACCACTTAAAACAACTACACAAAATTGGATAAAACTCTAGGAGTTAAAAAAAAGGGAAATAAGAAGAGTGATAAAAAAAACAAATAAAAGTAAGAAGAAAAGTTATAAGAGATAAATAGCCAAAAGGAGCCATCCGAGCAGCTATAAGCATATATTTCAATAAGATAATCCATCACCATTCATCTTTTTCAGGCCATGGCCCGACACTTAATGAATAAAAGCAAATAGATCGTAACACCTCGATTTGTCCCACATGTTAGATAAGACTAAGATTAGTTTATAAAGGTCTAATAGGTGTACTATCATCAAATTCAACTTAAGCATTTTAAGCCAATGGTTTGGGCTCAACGAAAATGATGGACCACTTATCCCATCAAGTTGGGTCGTGACAATTGGTATCGGACCTGAC